CGAACCCGCGACCCTCAGATTGTGAGTCGAGCGCCTTATCCACCTGGCCATGCCGGGCCTTGCTAAAGAGTAGCCCATGAGTTGGCGGTGCGTGGTGTCGAATAGTTGCCTTTTTAAAATAATATAGTTCAACAAACGAACAGTCTCTGTTGACCCTGAAATTCTATTAGCTTTGTCACAAGTAACAGAGCACTGACTCGATGGCTCTAGTGATTTATCCGCCATTATGCCAACAATAGTTTTTCTTTCATCACGCTGTTGAGAGTGGTCAGTCTATTGGTTTCTATTGTTGGGGGTTATTATTATTATTCAGTCAAAATAATACGAGTTCCAATCCACATGAAGATGACGAACATGATTTATTTTTTCAACTGCAACGTATACAATTTTTTCAGGCTACTTTGGTTGATAGGCCTAACTCACAAATGAAACTAAACATTCACTTATTTGCAAAGTGTCCTCCTGTATCTATAACACAACTCCAAACTCTGATAACACGGTAACAGATTCACTAACTGATCGATAACTCTTTCTAACTCACTGAGTGACTAATTAATTATCCAACCACCTTTTAGTGTATAAATACTGTTACACTATTTTCATACAAGTTTTCAGGAAACTCGAAACGTCGCGTGCTCATGACGTCACGTCAGTTCTAAAAGTATAGAAGCTTCTAGAGTACACACATCATCATTAACAAACTCCCACTAGCGACAATAAAAATGTCTAAATTAATATATTAAAAAAATATTATAATAACCCAAAAATGACGAAACAAAGAGTTCAGTGGATTCAGACATTTTCCCTTTAGTTTATTTGTTCTGCACTGATGTTTTTATGTTTCATCCATATATTACTAATCTTGAAATAACAGAAATTCCTGACGTAAAATTATGTAATAACAAACAACATCATCCTTCACATTAGCAAGTTTCCTTATTCCTGATTCCTAATGTTGTAAGACTGGGGCACCAAAGTGACAGTCAAGTCTCACTATTCAACCAAACAAGGATTATCGGTGGGTGCTGTTGATTATCTTTTTTTTTTACCACAGCTCTATCAGTTCAAAATTAGGGACAGTTATACCCTGTGTAGCTTAGCGCGAAAAAACTAAGATATAAACAAACAATTTTGGAAAGGGAGTTAATTTAACCCTCAAATCTGGTTCGACATTCAATCTGTTTCTATGCTTGTTTTTTAAGAAAACCAAAGACGAGAAGCTGGTTTCACAGTTATATGTCGTAACAAAAGGCATCAGGAACCTGACCGCTTTTTCAGATAACTACATATTCATTTTGACAACTCGGCCAAGGATTAATCAAGGAGAGTTTATCAAAATTCTGTTTCAAGAAGGTGTCACAGGAAAGTTCAATTAATGAATACACTTCTAATTCATTTAATTCAAAATATTATTACAGCAGAATATATCAATATATCTAACCTTAATGCATGCTGCGGAAATGATTGTAATAAATAAAGTCTGGATCTTCAAGCGGAAATGATTGTAATAAATAAAGTCTGGATCTTCAATTTAGTTTACATTCATATGTTGAAGAAATAAATATGAATTTTATAAAATTTTAGTTGATGCACATTTCGTGAGCAGTTTCGCTTTGTTTTGGTTATCACTCGAAGATTGCTAAACCTTTGTTAACTTGTTAGGCATAGGTTTTGAATAAATTGTTAACATTACGCTGATTTTGACTTTGAGATATTCTAAGCTTTCATAAGGCTGTTGTTGAACCTTAAGAAGAATACTTTGGTTTAGTTTACATTGTATGGTTTTATTTTTATAAATTAACTTTTTTTTTTCGTATAGTTTATGGAAGGGGGACTCATATTACACTGATGCAAATGGCGTCGAATCCTCTAAATTACATACTTTAGTGTTCAGAATATATACTGTAGGCTGTGGGAGGATGAAAAACAACTAAAGTAAAACCATCCTAATTTTTTCTTTTCTGAAACATGTTATATTATGTGATCAGTATATTTATTGTTTCTGTCACGTATGCAGAGTAAACGGGTAGGGTCGCAAAACTGATTGTCCAACAAATACCGAGTTGGAGAGTATAGCTTTGTGTCACTCTAACTTTCGACTGATTTCGTTACAGAGAATGATTTCCGCACACAAAATGTTCAAAACAACAATCTTGATTAACAGCAAACACAACAGACACACAAGTAGTGGGCATCTGGACCTGGTAAGAGAGAGAGAATTTGAAACGAAACAGTTATTGGTTCTCTCTCTCTATTTAGCCAAGTAAAGAAAAAAAAAGAAAAATACATGTTTAACGTCCGGAGTTTTCGAAAAAAGGGAGGAGGAGGTCCTTTTTTTTTTAAATGACCTCTTTTAAAGAAAATGTGCACCCTGCTTTTCACGATTGTTGCTTGTTTTCAAGGAGTCCATGTCAAACAGAAGTCTTCTTTGTTTGATTTTTCCATTAAAACGATACAGAATTTATGACAAATAAAGAAAAAGACAAAATGAATTAACTGTGTTCATCTCATTTTTTTATTCAGAAGTCTTCTTTGTTTCATTGTATGATCAAAAAACGATAACTGAAAAAAGTTTAAAAAAATTGCAAAAAGTGGGGGGAAGGCGGCTGCAAAAAAGGAAACGTATTTTTTTTTAACTTGGCCTTAAGGTGATTTCTTATGATACCCGAACTAAAGATATCACATAATATAGTTTTTTTCCTTTTCTTTTTAGCAGTTTATGCTTAATCGGGCACATCAATATCATAAACAGGACCTACAATTTCAACCCAGCACATCAAAATTTCTAAATACAGTATAAAAACCCATCAAAAAACAAATCCACAATGATAATTTGTTAAGCCTAGTTAACCTGACCTACCCACAATAACGCAGGATGTGTGTGTGTGTGTGTGAGGGGGGGACCAATAGAAGTGTTTTAGTGGATGTATTATATTTGTATGTTGGTATTTTGAAAATAATTCTAAAGAGATCGTTACAATTTACTTATTTAACAACTATTTTGTATACTTAGTACGTTGTTGTATTTCTTTTTCATGTTACGTGAAAAACATTTTTGGCTCATGTTTCTGAGTTGTTTTTATTCATTTAATTTTGTCTTATTGTTTATAAAACTCATTTTATTTGGTCTGTAATGCGCCAAAAATTATCATTATATATATATATATTTAAAAATCATTATATTATATATATATATTCTGACCATCCACCATTTTCAGTACCCCCTAATTTGAAATTCGTTCCCTCTGTTTCTGCCTACCCATAGTTCACTAGGATATTTCTTATACGTTTAGTCAACGCTGGTTAGTATTAAAGTTCACTTCTGTTGGTGTGGGAGCTGAACTTACACGAGCAGTCTGAGATGTGTGTGGTTTGTTGAGTAATACGTAAAAGTAAAGGTGGATGTTATTTTTTTAGTTGTCGTAAACCATTATTTCAAGTGAGTTTTAGGAAATTTATTACTACTTTTCTACACTAAGGTTGTTGTTACGGAAGAGTGAGTAACTTTATACTCTTATTTCTTAAATATTTATGATATTGTAAATTATAAGTAAGTGGTAGTTAACTTTTAGTTTTAACTAATTTAATTGGAGACAAGATTGAATATACAACTTTTACTAGTTTAACTATAACTTATAAGGGAGGGAAAGGTAGTAACTTGTAAAGTTTAAAAGTTATTATATTTATAAACTTTGTTTTGTTGTTGTTTATATCCTTGGTTTAAAAAAAAAAAAACATGGGTGTAAAGAGAAGTTTTCAAGAACCCAATGACACAGTGAATTAAACTTAAAGTAACATATTTCAGAAAACTGAAATAGCTCTTAAAGTTAAACTTTAAGATTACTTCAAGACGTTCAGTTTACACAAATAATAGGAGCCATATTCTTCAACTTTAAGTTAATTTTAAAGTTAATCTACGAGACTTTATGCTACTCTGTTTTAAGCGAAAGACAAGTTAAAAGTTAATAAAACTAAAAGAACCACAGGTAAAGCCTGGTTCAACTATCCTTGAGAAAAATAGTAAAATCTTCCTCTTAAATTGTAGATTCTCCTATTATAACTCTCTTAAAAGAGCCAGCCTTCACTTTTACGAACACAAACTTCTGCAATGAGCCAGTTAGAAAAATAAACTGTATTCTAGCCTGTCTTTCTCAAGTCTTGAACTTTGGCCCCATACTTGTCCCATTGTTTTTGAAATTGAAGCCCATTATCAAATGGCTACTCTGGATGTTCGTTTTAACTTCAATAAAATTACATTTTCTCAACAGCAAGAAATCTTAATGTCTATTACTATATAACTTTCCCATTTCCCAAAAATCTTGCTTTCCTGATATGAACCCTTTCCAGTCAGTCGGTATCATTCCTTGGTGCTGACTCGTGAGGATCTGCACCAATAACATGGGTCAAGTTTTACTGGATTCCATAAATAATGACCTTTTGGTTTCACTTCTCCAACCTCCATGATCCAGTTTGCTAATCATCTTTCCTAAAGTTTTTAATATCTTGGTACACAAAGTTCATGCTATTTCCAGATAAGTAACAGCCTCAAGAGTGATCGGGTTAGTAAGGTAAGAATTCCTTTGTTGATTCCATGTGGACTTTTACATTTCATAAAATTATTTTTGCAAGGTTTCTGTTATTGCAGTAAAATATTTTTTTCCCACTTCTAAACTGTGATTGACTGACTTTTTTTTCTTTTTAAAATTTAAAGGAAACCTCTTGTTGGTTTAAAACTGAAGTATGATATGATAGGCAGAGGTTCATACAATCTCTATTCTTCTTTAAAAAAAAATGTTTTATAAATAACTAGTTAATAAGTTGTCTAATTGAAAATGTTTATGCAAGTCTTTTTTTCTGTTTCATGAAAGATTGGTTTCTACTTAACTGGGTTAATCACTGATTATGAACACTTTTATGGTGAGCTTAGTTTCTCTAATCTTGATTTGACTAAATATTCAATAGTGTTTACTGATGAACTTTGCAGTAAATGTGAATATGTAAGGTTGCAAAATGTCCCAGACTATACCACATAATGGGGGGGGGGGGGCTCTTATAGGCAGCTCCTGGACTCTCTAACCTTTATAGGCTGGAACTTTGGACCAGCCAATCAGTTTAATTTACTGTTGTCATCTCGGTATATTTAACAAATACTGGCTTCCAGAATTTTTTGTGTTAAATAAAAGTATATATTAAACATGTTTTTCCTTAATAGTTCTTTAGTAAATCAAACTTGGTCAGATGGCTATCAGTTTCAGTGTACTTTGAACATGTTTATTTCATGTGTACTACTTTGATAAGTCAGCTGACAGTAAATCCTCGTGTGCTGAATGTACTATGTCATGTCACTTTGTAAAAATAGTACTTGAGGAATATTTAACTTTGAAGACGGTGCTTTGTGGTTAAAGCCCCAAACTCAAGCACAAAGGTGTTTCTTTAAATTTACAGCAGATGTTTTGAAGAATTATAGTGGTGTTCTTTCAAAGATGACACTACATCAATGTACTGGTATCTTCAAATAAAAAAAACCTAACGAGCTTACTTTACTTCTCATTATGTATCTTTCAGATTAAAGTCACTTTCTTGTTGAGCTTATACTTGCACCTCATTCTATTGCTTCTATAAACCACAAGTTTAGTATTTAAGGTAAATATTGGGTTTTTGTATAATTTACACTATAAATTATCTGGTGGTGGAATCACGCACACACGCAAAGTCGTGAGGAAGGTAATGAGTCACAACACAAGTTTGTGATTTGTTAAACTACTGTGATAGTGTACAAATTATGTAATTTGCTGGTGTTTTTAGATTGTTTATATATACCCGTTCATCCTTTGTATGTAGTTCCTAAGATCTTGGCTTGACAAAAACAGCTAGTATTTTAAACTAATAAACATCTTTTACTGAAAGCATCCCATGAATAGATAATAGTACAGTAAAGTAAGTGAAATAACTACTCTTAAAAATTAGTGAAAGTCTTAAAATGAAATCAAACATAGTTTTTTTTATAGACAGTATAGTTGTACTATGGTATTGTCATTCAAGTACATTTTTGGAGAAACTTGCCTGATTAATGAAATTAACATTATGTTACTTTGTATTTTTATAATAACTAAAAAAAAAAACAAACTTGGTGTTATGTCTGTCCTAACAATTGTCATATTGGTGTAAGTTTTAATTGTATATTTAAAGACTACTTGCAACTCTAAAGTAAATACTTTTGTTTTTTGTAGACATTATCCTGAAATTACTGCCATGCCTATTACAGTAAAACATTTTTATTTGTTGATGATCTGTTTTGTTCTTCACAAAAATGTTGAAGCTACAGTAAATGCTTCAGTGACATTTGACCCTTCTACTGGTTTGTACCATATTCATGAAAACATTAAAAGTGACTCGGTTGCCTGGGCAACTTTTACAGATGAAATTTTCAAAACTGGGTGAGTTATGGTTTAAATACGATTCAAATTTCTTTTGTTAGTTTGTATATTTTTGTCCAGTTCATTAGTACAAGGAATTACACTAAAACACACTAAAGATTTATTTGTATTTAAACTACAACTTGCTTACTCTTCAGAAACTTTATCATTAACTGCTTTCTCAAACATCTATATTTAACCCTCAAACAATTGGTTTGTTAAATAACTATTGAGTAATTATCTTTAGTCTGTTACAACAGGTGTGGAATTGACTAAAACATGTTGATGAAATATGAATTGTAGGAGTAACTGAAGGGGATTGATTAGTATTAATAGTATGTTAAAAACAAATTTAAAGTACTAGTGTCTTATGTCAACTTTCCATTTTTTATTTTTTTTTAAGAATTAGATTCTTAAGTATGGGAGGTATCTAGGTTTTCTAAATTGCTGGAATTTCTTAAGTTATGTTCTATAATATATTCTTGTAAAGTGTTCTGTTTGGCAAGTTCTCTTAGATTATCTGTGAACTTCTTAACACTTACATTCGCTGTTACTGTGTTAGGCCTAACTTGCTTATAGAATTCTTCTCAAATTGATTACTAACAAATGTGCTGAGTTACAGACAAATAGATGCATTTATTTCTTACTAACATTATCTAAACCATCTTGGTCCTTTAATACACTAAATATTTCACTGATTAACTGACAGTTAGTACTTGTTTTCTATTTACTACAGTTTCTTCTAGATTTCAAGACTTTGTGAAATTTGTAGATGATATCGTGACTCTCCCTCTAGCTAGAAACTTCCAAGTTGTTAAAAATGGATTTTAGAACACTAAATGTTTCATGCTTCATAATAAACTCCATGTATTCTGGACAATACCTTCCAACAACTCTCAATATATGCAAGATTTTTTTTTTTTCCTCAGGTGGTCCTACCTCCAAGTATGGACAAATGGAACGTATGATGATACTATGCAAGTATATGCAGCTGGGTTGGTAGAAGGATACCTCACCAGATCTCTCATTAAGAATCACTGGAGAAACACTGTTGCTGATTATTGTAATGGGGAGATAGAGTATTGTTACAGACTGCGGGAGTTTTTGCAGACAAATCTAAATTATATGACTGATAACATTTCTCTCTATAGAACAACACGGAGTTACTGGCATCAAGTGAGTGACATTTGTTTGTAAATCTGTGGAGTATGAACTAGGTATTTACATTGTAATTTTTGAATTGTAACTTGCCTATATAGCAGAACAAGGCTACTGTTTGTTTCAATTTTTTCATGTGCAAAGTATCTTTCATTACTACTTGCCTCTCCTTAAAATATTCATTTTTTAAATTCAAAAAATTTTTTTATAAAAGTTTGAAATAACTATAGTTTTTCTTTCGGAAGAGTTAGTATGTAGCAGCTTCAGCATAAGTTCGTATGCGATATAGCATTGTAATTATTTTAGTCTTTTTACTTTAACTTAAACTAAATATTATAAACTAAATTATTTTTTTTTTTATTTTTTAATAGGGTTAATTAAAAAGTACTTTAAAACCTAAATTATGACTGTACTTAAACAATCAAACCTGGCTTGGTTACTCTTAGGCCTTAGTTTTTATTTTAATAGCATGCACAAATCTTTTTTCTGTTGTCCATAGCTGCCCTTATAATTCTGTACTTTCTCTGTAGGCAGGGCTCATTCTTGAACAGATAAGTGGCATTGAAGATGGCTACATGAATGCTCCTACTCAACCTAGGACTAAATTGGATGTAGTTGGAATTATGTGAGTCATGCTATTACTAGGTATATCTATGTTTGTATTGGGTGCTATGGAAGAGGTGTTGGGAAGATGAGCAGTTGTAGAGTTTGGAATAATATTTAATATTATCATTTGTAGTGATTCTTATTGAATAAGAAAACTAGACTTGGTAAGTAAGAGTAGGTTAAAGTTTTCAATTTGGGCTTAGCGGTGTAATTGCTACTATGATGTTAAAGAATTAGATTATGCTTCCCCAGGGCACAGGTTTATGATACAACTGACAGAGCAAGAGATAATAAAAGGGACTACCAATGACGTAGGGAATAGAACTCGGTTAATATATACAAGGGGTTGGTAAAATGGCACTCGTAGAAAAAAAAAACCATAACTTAATTGTGTCGGGGATACTGCAGAGAATTAATTGTAGGGATAAAATTAATAGTAAATCACCAGGGCTAAATGCTAGACTTGGGTTAATATGTAACAATGAGCATATAGGCTGGTTGGACTCGTGGGATTGTTTCATAAGGTCCCTTAAAGTTTATAATGTTATTGGATAGTCAAGATGGTTTCACTAAGGGGAAAATCTTGCCTTACAAATCTCTTGACCTTCTCTGAGAAGGTTACTACATATTAAATTTGTAACTATTTTCAAAAAACTGTTAACAAGGTGATACAAGGCTTAAACATCAACTAATAGGTGTGGGATAAAAGTT